TGGCTGCCACAAGCTAAGAGCCATCCACTTTTAAAGAAGCGACACATGATGGTGACAGTAACAGGTGGAGTGAAGCCATGGATGAAGAAATGAAATCTCTTCAGAAGAATCGTACTTGGGTTCTCATGAAGTTGCCTAAATGCAAGAGAGTCATTGGTTGTAAATAGATTTGTAAGAAGAAAGATGAGTCACTGAGACTGGTGGTAATCGATTTAAGGCACATTTGGTTGTAAAAGGCTATGCACAGGAAAAAGTTGTTGATTATAATGAGATTTTCTCTCCAGTTGTGAAACACACTTTTATTGGGGTTTTACAATCCATGGTTGCATTGTTTGATTTGGAGTTAGAGCAGCTAGATGTCAAGACTACATTCCTTCATGGAGAGTTAGAAGAACATATTTATATGACTCAATGATAAGGGTTTGTTGTTAAATGAAAGCATGATCATGTCTGCAAGTTGAAGAAATATTTGTATGACCCAAAGTAGTCTTCTAGGCAGTGGTACAAACGTTTTGATACGTTCATGATTGGACACGTGTATGTTAGAAGTAAGTATGACAATGGTGTCTATTTTAAGAGATTTACTGATGGTTCGTTTATCTATTTATTGCTTTATATGGATGATATGTTTATTGCTGCAAAGAATTCTTTAGAAATCAATAAATTGAAAACAGCTTGCCAGAGAATTTAAAATGAACGATTTAGGTTCAGCAAAGAAAATTTTGGGTATAAGGATTTGTAGAGATCAAAAGTTTGGGTAAATTGTTGCTATCTCAGAAGGAATACATTGAAAATGTCATCGCTAGATTCGAGATGGAAAATTCAAAGCCCGTGGGTACTCCTCTTGTTGCACATTTCAAATTGCAGGCAACATTATCTCCAAGTTCAGATACTAAAAATGAATACATGTCACGTGTTCCCTATGCGAGTGCAGTTGGAAGCCTTATGTATGCAATGGTTTGCACTCGTCCAGATATTTTTCATGTCATTAGTGTTGTTAGTAAGTATATGGGTAATCCAAGAAATGAGCATTGACATATGGTAAAATGGATTCTGCGTTACCTAAGGGGTATATCAGATGTGGGTATAGTGTTTGATAGAGATGACAAGTTTGATGACAAGCTTGTTGGTTATGTTGATGCTTACTTTGTAGGTGATTTGGATTGTAGGAGATCTACTACATGTTATATATTTACACTTGCAGGAGCTCTAATCAATTAGAGGTCGATGATACAAACTGCAGTTGCCTTATTTACAACTAAAGCAAAATACATGGTTATTACTGAGGCAGTGAAAGAAGTCATTTGGCTTAGAGGGCTTGTAAGAGATTTGGGCTTACGACATGATGGAACTGTTATTTATTGTGACAGTCAGAGTACACTACATTTGGCGAAGAACCAGGTATATCATGCAAGGACGAAGCATATTAATGTCAGATATCATTTTATTCATGAGATCATAGCTGAAAGTGATATCTTGTTACTGAAAATTAACACTACAAAAAATGCTGCAGATATGTTAACAAAGTCTATTCTATTACAGAAGTTCAAACTATGCTTGGACTTAACTAATGTGTTGCCTAAGTAAGCGCCTGTGGAGGCACGTATGGAGAAGACGGTCAATGGGAATATCTTTTGGAATTCAAGCTAAGGTGGAGATTTGTTGATATTTATCTTAAATCCCTAATTTTAAGGGATTGATTTCCATTAATCTAGTTTTCTTATTTATTTGGGTAGAGTCTATTATTTAGAATCTAAGTTTGTGTATAAGTCTTACTTAAATTAGGATGACGTTTTGAGTCCACACATATAGGGATCCTATTTATTTGGATAGAGTCTATTATTTAGAATCTAAGTTTGTGAATAAGTCTTACTTAGATTATAATGAAGTTTTGAGTCCACATGGATAAGGATGATAAAGTTCTTTTTTTTTTATAAAGTTAGAAATGTTGAAATTGGTTTGAATGTACTTTTCTTTAGGGCTTTAATCTTTCTATAGATGTTTTTCTAGAGAGAGAAAGCATGTGTGGAAAAAGTCGGTCATACGTGGATTCATTTTAGTGTCCTCTCTTATTGAGATATATTGTAGAGAAAGAAAGTGCATAGAGAAAAATAGAAAGAAACTTTTGATGGTTTTACATAAAGAAAAAATTATAGAGAAGAATGTTTTGTGGGAGATTGAGTCTCTGGTTCTCTCAAATAAGTTACTTTGTAATTTTATTTCTTTGATTTAGTAAAAAATATCGATCGTCTTCGCATGTGGATGTAGTCACAATTGTGATGAACCACGTAAATCTTAGTGTTCTTTTTCTGTTATTTATTTTTTGCTTTATTTTTGTTGTTTGTTGCTTATTTTTTGTCGATATTTTTCTTTCATACTTTATTTAACAAAAAATTAACTCATTGGATTTAAAACTTCCGCCTACAACATATCTCTCTATATCTTTTCTTTTTGTTACCTAGAGGAACACCAAGGACGAGAGAGAGAAAAAGAGGAAGCACAGCATTGCCACGTATTGTTGACAGGAAAACCTCTCCTTACATGTTCTTCCCCATTTCTACTCTTCCTCAATTGTGAGATCAAGTGGTTTATAAGGTAAGCTCTAAGCATTGTATTTATTTTATTTTTATGTCTTCTGTTCTTAACTTTTCTATTTTAAAATTATATTAATTTTCATGGATAATTATCGTGGGTTTGTAATGAACTATACATTTATACCTTTTTATTGTAATGTTCTTTTGAGTGGCTGAGAGCGATGACGGCCGATCTTTCTTTTTGTATGTTCATTTCAGCTTTACTTTTTCATATTTAAAGTTTTTCACGTAATTTTTCTTGAAATTTGAATTTATTTTTTATGTTATTCTTTTTTTTTTAACTGGTGGGGAATATGCAATTCTTCAATTCTATGGTTGTAATTAATTTTGCAATTTGCTACAAGAACTTTCTATCTTATATTTAAATTATTTTTAATATTTTAAATTTTTTATGGGTGGTAATTATTTTTTGGTACATGAGCTCTAACATGAAAAGGAAAGGACCCCTATTTACTATTATATATTAGTAATTATTATTTGTGATAATAATAAAAACATTGTAATAATCACTATTATTAATAGGGTGTGGTTTGTATGGAGCCAAGGCTCTAAACAATCAAATTACAACACACCTTCAAATGGTAACTAGAATTGTGGTTTCAATACTAGAAATCTTTGTGATAACCTTAAAATATATTGTCATCTCAATTTAAAGTTTAAAAAATAGCGTAGATCGGGCAAATCTATAAAAACTTGAAAATCTTAAAAATTGATGGTCAAAAATGCGTTAAAAGATGTATTATTTTCAATACTTGGAATCCATTTTTTTCTCATGTCCATACATCTTGATATCGAGATGATCAATTTGAAGATATTTGGACATCAAAACAACCACTTTTAGTATTAATAATGTTAATGAAATGTCATGATAAATATTTGGAATAATAAAAACAACGACAACGACAATAGTAAATATTAAATATAAAATATTTAAGTTTATAATTATAAAATAATATTATTATTATGAGTGAGAACAAAAAAGGAGAAGACACACGTACCCCAATGTAAAAGCTAGCTTTTCCAAAACCTTGTATTTGTGCATTCCTAAGTTTTTTTTTTTGTTTTTTGTTTTTTTTTTCATAAGCAAATATTGGACATGACTATGGAAGGATATGAAGATATAGATACCCAGATATAATCTCTAAAAATACACCCAAGCAACCTTAGGCCATTAAAACCTGGATAACCTGGATATGCAAATGAAGTATTTGTATATCGTAACTTTCTAAGGTCCCCAACGACCCATTAAGTCACATCAAGTATATCGCATTATTTAGTCAAATTAGATAGGGTGTGATTTGCATGAGGCAGCAACCTTAAACAATCAAATTAAGGTCTCTCCAAACTTTGTCAACCTCAAAATAACTATTTTTTAGGGTTTCTTGAGGTGTACAGTAATTGTACATTTGAAAGTATCGACTTTATGGAAAGCTTTTTTTCATTTAATAAAAATACATGGGACGAAAAAGTACATTTTTTTTACTTAATTTGCAATATTTTGATTCTTTACATTATTCATGATTATGGATGTTGTGCTTGAATAACATGATTTCCGTGCAACATTTTAAAAATTTATTACACAACTAAATGTTAAGTACTTAATAATTTAATTAAATTTTAGTAAATTAAATATTTAAAAAATTAATTAAAAAAAGTTTTTTCTATGAACTTTTAATCTCTTTTCTTCCCCATATCTATACATCTCAATGTTGAGATGATCAATTAGATGTTTTTCCAACATCAAAACAAAGTTTTTCAAAGGATTTTAGAAAGCACACCTTAATTCTACATGTTAAGGTGCCAACATTATATGAACTTTTTTGCTATTAGGTATGAATATTTTGTTTTAGGATGCCTTCTTTAATGGTCCCAAGAGAGAGAGAAGTCCAAAGAGTATGTCGAATAATATGTGTTGGAATGGAGGGACATCTTGTCTTTCTTTCCTTTTCTTTTCTCTTTTAATTATAGTATTTATGTTTTGGGGAATCCCTAATTTGAGATGTGACAACAAAAACTTCCATTTGCAGATAAGTGAGTCTCAGTACAAAAGGAGCTGCTCATCATCAGACTCAGAAAGAAAATATAGTAACATACAAAGAATGTTATCGAACAATTATCATGGTGCCTTTAATTAAGCTACACATCCTATACACAGAATCAGAAAGAATAAAAGTAGGCCTTGCCAAAGACTTCTCAATGCAAGTATCAAAAGTATTGGTGAAGGCGCACCATTTGCACTAGAAATAGGGCTCTAAACAACTTCAACAATTGAGAATACAAGTGGCAAGCTGAAAGAATTAAATATTGGATTATATGCTAATGAGCTTCAGAAAAATATTTGCTAAAAAATCACTATATTTCTTTTAGTCACAATACGAGGATGTTTGTAGATTCAGATACCACTCAGGAAATCAGAACACGTGGTATTCCATTGATTCATGAAAGTTAGATATACAAATACAAATGATGAGCAACCAATATCTGGGAAGATAGCAAGAACACGAACAATATCTGGAAAGATGCAAAATAGTATGGCATACAGTCTCTATTTTGTCACATGAATGTGTGTGTGTGTGTGAGAGAGAGAGAGAAAGAGAGATTATTGTAGCACAATATCTCTATTTTGTCGCCTGTGCAATCATATTGGTAATAGAACTGGCTTGCTCTTTGGCATTCTCCACCAATAAATCCTGCACCAACTCAAAACAACATGAATTAACATACCAAACAAATCAAATCACCACTATTTTTCTCTTTTCTCCCCAAGGAAGAAGGAAGCATACCAATTCACAACATAGAAAAAGTTACAAACTTAACCTGTGCAGCTATTAACCGTGCAACTGTTTTCTTGCTAGACTCCTGGAGTTCACCAGCAATTAAAGTCTCATCCAGAATGTAGAATGCCTGCGGAAAACATTGCAATAATAAGGAATTGCAAAAAAAAAGACAATGATTCGGTTTGAAAAAATCATTTCCTGAGAGAAAGACATTCTAAATTTTACCTTGTGAAAATTGAAGATTAGGTCCAATTCACAAACCTGAGAAGAAATGAAAGATTATCCTCTTCAATCAGTGAAAGTAGTCATAATATAACATTCACAACGATGACAATGAAGATGATAATCATGACGATGCTTCAACAAAGGGGGGAATGCAAGTAAAGAAAAATAGTAATATGCGCACACTGCCGAAGTAACGGTCGAGTATTTCAACAAAATGGTGAATTATTTCGAGAATCTCCAGTTCATTGTCATCAGCATCTATGCACATGCAGAAGTAAAGACTCGCATATCTGCAAGGGCCAGACTAGTTAATGCCATGCACAGGTCAACAACACAAAGAAGCATTAACCAACTGCGGGATTCAAAAGAAATATACAGATTGAATCCTAAAATATACAAAAGAGTTTACCTCTTATATACAACCTTTAATCCCCTCCACTCAACAAAATTACAGAGCTTGGGGCCACGTGTAAGAATCACGCCGCTGAGCTCTCGAATCACCTTTCATAGACAAAACATAGTGACATAAAAGACATGCTCCACAAGATCCAAAGTGACCATAAATATCCTTGCAACGATTTCCAGAAATTCAACCATGGGCTATTGATTCTTCAATCTTATAAAGCATTGGGTCCTTTTTCTGTTTTTCTTTCTTCTTTCTATTTTTTTACCAACTGGGAAAATCTGAAGGCCAACTGAAATTTTGATTTTCTTGAGGCATATTTGGGGTAAGCATTTGAACCAAAAAGGTAGTAGAATATTTTGTGGCCCAATCCGTGCATTTGCTAAATAAAATTTCTGGCAAACTATGTAAAGCCAAAGAATCAGACAGTGGTTACTACATGCATAAAACAGGTACTGAAAACATACAGACTAAGATCCCTTACCTTGGTTCTTTCCTTCTGGGAATAAGGAGAATACCATTTTGTCAGCCTAACCTTGCCTTGTCGACTTATAAGAAGCACAAAGTGAATCTAGGAAAAAAAATAAAAAGAATACAGAAGGGCAAGCAGTAGAATCAGTATCAAATAGGCCAAGAAGTACATAAAGGCATAAGCAATGACTGGGCCTCAAATTTGGGTTTAGCCTGCCTCAGATCGTGCTTACGAAGGAAGACAATTAAAAGCAATCAAGAACCATCATATTCACTCAATGGCCAAGCAACTAAATGGCACTCATAACAAGTCATATGTATGATTCTAGTTGGGTGAGAGCTTAGTCTGAGTAGTGAATTCCGCTGATTCTCGAATTGAAAACCAAGTCATTCAAACCATGTAAACTACATCAAGGTAAAAGACTCAATACATGTAGTCTTATAGAAGGAAGAAGTGGCTCACAAATGATCATATTTTCTTTCATCTTTGCATAAAATTTCTTTTCTTACTTTCTTCTTTCTTTTTTTTTAAATTTGTTGACTGCTTCATGTTTGGTTAAAGTTATTACAGTGATCCATACCATGAGCAAAATAGGAAACATGGATTTGCATGTCCCCTTTATCTTTCTTATTTCCTTTTATAATTTTTAAGTAAGGCATAACTGAAAGCAAACGGCATGCTGAAATTACTTATCCCAAAAAGAACACCAGAAGTTTAAAAAATAAAAATAAAAATGCACACATTGTCATATTATCATTTCCCATGAAATACGATGAAACTAGCCACAAAATTCAATTGGAATCGAGGATGGGGAAGTTTCACATCCAAAATCATCAAGTGGGTTAATTCACCGTTAGTGTGTCTGTGTGCATAATAATTTTAAGCATTAGGGGAATCATCTCCAAGCTCTTTTATTTCGTGACATCCGTTTGATTATTTTCAAATCCGAAGAGCTTGCTTATACCATATAACAGTCATTGGTCATCACAGTTTCCCCATGGTCTGATCAGAACTTAAAAATGTTTAAATCCATAACAAAGACATTCGCAGCACATAGTTCTACTATGCCATATCAGGGGAGCATCATATTGTATTTCCTTTTTTCTTTAGTACAGAATTTTAAGTAGCCAGACAATTCCCAAGACAAAATTCAAGGTCAAAAGAATTGCCAGAAGAAGGATAGGAGCAAGAAGAGAACATGGAAATTAGAAGTTCATAAAGAATCTAAACTCCAGATGTTTTGACCCTCTGATTAGCATCCCTTCCAGAATGAGACTCCTATCTCTGAGCATGACCACAAAATAATGAAATGGGGTTACTTCGGAAACTTTTGAGCTGGTAGAGTGTTTGGTCCTTGAGCTTGCACTTATAGTGTACATTGAATTACATGAATGTTATGATTTAGAGATTACTTTGATGATAAAGATATGGTATGTCTTAACTACAGCCACACTATATGTTAGTACCTCACCTAAGGATCTGATTATCTAGAAATAATGTTAGTTTGTTAATACAAAACTCACTACAGTTATTCATTTATAAAGCACTTTTAGCATGACCCGAAGGGAGCACACAGTACAACAACTCCCTCCGGCAAAAAGAGTAACTTGGGAGAATTTTTTGGATCTGAGAAAAGGGATCCATCTAAGTATCATCAGATGATAATTTCCAAGAAAAAAAATTGGATTTTAAGATTTGAACACCTAGATCTTGCCCTCCAAAAATTGGATAGTTCTTGTTCACTCTTGGGACGCTAATTTTTTTGAGGCACATAGAGAGTCCATTTGATTTTTCTTTCTTTGAGGCTGCTTATTAGGTTCTAGAGGCTACATCCCCAAAACTTGAGGTCCAAAAAATATTCCTAAAATGAGTTTTATCCGAGGGAGCAAATGCACAGTGTTCCCCCATGGGAGCAGCAAATATTTTCACTTATTTATTTATTATAATAAAACTGCCTGTAGTTCCTCTTTAACAAGGGCAGCAATGGACCGGGCCAGGGCAGGGCCAGCCTTCTGGCAAAGAAAAGGACAAAAAAAATATGGGATGGCCCAGCCGGCACTGGCCCTGGCCCGGCCCTCGGGCCACAGTTTGTGGCCCAGGCCTACTTTTTTAGGGCTGGAACTGCCTGGCACATTGCTAGCCCTACTCTTTAAGGAATAGTAATCACATTTTTTTCTTTGATTTCTTTTACCATAAGGAATTCATTGATGTAATAATTGCAGTAGTATCCAGTCCCTACTGGCAATGCCAGCTCCACTAATGCAGAGGCTTTCGCACAGTAGTAGGGCTTCAAATTGTTAGATCAAAGTTGGGGAATAGTTTGGCGGTTGAGGAGGATTGGAAAAACATCATTAGATGATATCAAAGGGGGCTCCTGTCCTTGATAGTTGGAGCATTCGGTCAATCAAATCTTTAAAATTTCGAGCACTTTATAAGTGTTTTACAGCACATTCATGGTAGCACCATTGCAGATGGTCTTGCGAAGGATGGCGCCTTGAGCAACGCTTAAGTTATCTCCAGATATGACTAACTACTTGTCCATGCTACTATTAAAACTGTTTTTATACGGGTTTTATAGTTCCTATTTTAGAAAGAGATTACCTTTCGTTCATCATCATCGCCTTTTCTCAATTAATTGGGGCCGGCTATACAAATCCCGATCCACCATTCTACTCTATTAAGGGTCATACCTGCAGTGAGGCTATAAGTCCCCATATCTTTCCAGACTACTTCCAACCACATCCTTTTGGGCTTACCCCTTGCCCTATTCGAGCCTTCTACTTGAACTAACTCGCATCTCCTAACATATATTGTACTAGGTTTGCACCACACATGGCCAACCCACCTAAATCTACTCTCTCTCATCTTATCGCCTATTGGTGTCACACCTAAATTTTTCCAAATGGATTCATTTTGAACTCTATCCCTTCTTGTCTTGCCACTCATCCATCACAACATCCTCATCTCCACCACATTTACACAAATTACCTTTTATTAATACGTCTTTTAGTAGTTCCTGGTTTGGAACAGATTTTGACAAACACAGACATGGAAACTCATACACTATTCATACAAAGTCAATCCCTTTATCCAGAAGTTATTCATATGTCAACCACCAGCAAAAGCTATTCATACATTCCCCAGATTATCAACAAAAGTTACTCATATACATGATCATTAAAAGCTACTCAGTGTAAGAATATTTATTTTGACCAGCACCCTTGGCTTCAACAAAAAAACATTCAACAACTGCCAAAAGTTATTCATACATTCTCTTGATCATCAACAAAAGCTACTCATTTAGATCATCATTAAAAGCTACTCAATCCAAGGAAATTTATTTTGACCTGTCCACTTGGCTTCAACCAAACATTCTGTTGTGGCTGGAGTAGCATTATCAGATGATCATGATATAATCAACCCCAGGGTAACGAACAACAATATCATGTGATTCAAGAAAATCTCGATAGTCAGAAATCTATGTTTGGAGCAGGGTGCGGTATGTATAGAGCCGAGGCTCTAAACAATCAAATTAGAGCCCACCTTCAAATACAATTGCTATTCTGAATTATTGCCAACTAAATACAATTGAGAAAGAGGTAATTAAAAAGATGAATTTCTACAAAACGCAAATTGAGATTTGTTGAGAAATAAGCACAGAGACATTTTCAGTCATCATCTGAGAAATCCAAAAAAGTTAATATGTACAGGAAATCGAGACCATGGGTTTTTACCATTTCCTTTTTCTATGCCCTGACCACAGATAGTGGGAACAAAACCTACAAATCGTTCAAATACGAACAAATAAAGAAATTAAAAAACATTGGTAAACATACCAAAGTGCATAGCAAGAGAGAGAGAGGTTCATACTTGGGAGAGCTAAAGAAAGAAGAAAAGGAAGTAAATTCATAACCAGAAAGAAAATGAATTTAAGAAGAGAGAGAGAGAGAGAGAGAGAGAGAGAGAGAGAGAAGAAGAA